CGACCACCTGCGGCAGAGAGTCGCCGACGTCAGCCGAGAGAGCAGCCGAGAGTCGCCCTCCCCGCCACCGCCACCGCCTTTGCGTGCTTGGTGAGCAGGTAGTTTCCGCGGTCGTACGAGGAGCGGAGCAGCTCGAAGGCGCGGCACTCCTCGAGCTCCTGTTCACAGCAGGAGGTGTGAGGAGACGCTGTTCACAGCTCGAAGGCGCGGCACTCCTCGAGCTCCTGTTCACAGCAGGAGGTGTGAGGAGACGCTGCTCACAGCTCGAAGGCGCGGCACTCCTCGAGCTCCTGTTCACAGCAGGAGGTGTGAGGAGACGCTGTTCACAGCTCGAAGGCGCGGCACTCCTCGAGCTCCTCGAAGAGGGCCACCACGTGCCGCCACGCGCCGCGCGCCGCGTCGAGGTGCGCCGCGCCGCTGGCGGCGGGCGCAAACAGCGGCGAGGGCGTGTCGGCGAAGAAGTCGGAGAAGGGGAAGTGGCGCTCGACGGCCCCCTCCTCGTCGCCCGCGCGCCGCGCCTCCGCCTCGAACGCCTCCCACCGCGGCGCGACCGTCGCCTTGAAGAAGTAGCCCGCCGTCTCGCAGGTGTAGCCGACGTCGGCGGGCACGTCGAGCGACTTTGCGAGCGCCTCGACGCGCGCGAGCAGCTCGAGCCTCCGGCCGAGCATGTAGTTGACGCGGCCGCGCCGGCTGAAGTCTCGCTCCGTCGCCAGCAGCTCCTCGCCGTGCCTGCGGCGGGGCGGAAAGGGCGGTGGGACGGCTAGGGCCGCTGGGGGGGCGGGGGGCGGGGGGCGGGGGGCGGGGGGGCGGGGGGCTCGGCGGGCGGCGGGGCGCGAGGGCGGCGGGTCGGCGGGGCGGCTGGGCGGCGGGCCGGGGGGGCTGCGGGCCGCTGGGGCGGCGGGCAGCCGGCGGCGGAATGAGGGGCGAGGGGCGGCGGGCGGCGCGCCCGAGGCGGAGGAGGTGCCGCTCGTCGACGTCGCGCAGCAGCAGCTTCTCAAAGACGTCGTTGAGGGCCTGGTTCGAGTGGGTGATGACGAGCGTGCGCTGGCGCGGGTAGGCGTGGAGCAGGTTGGAGACGGCCTGCACGGCGGTGTCCGTCTTGCCCGTCCCCGGCGGGCCGACGACCAGCGAGAGGCCCGCGCTCATTGCGGCGCGCAGCGCCTCGACTTGCATCGGCGTGAAGCGGACGGGGTTGACGCGCAGCGCGTCCTGCGGGTACGGCCCCGCGGCGCGCCGCTCGTACGGCTCGACCAACACTACCGGTCGCTCGCCGCCCTCGCCCTCGCCGGCCTCGCCCTCGCCGGCCTCGCCCTCGCCGGCCTCGACGCCGGGCGCGGCGCCACCTCCACGCGGCACCTCATGCGGGATGGTGAGGCGGTACGGCGGCGGCGGGTCCGCGCCGCCGTCCGCCCCGTCGGGCGCGAGGCGGACGTCGCAGCCGGGGAAGGAGGCGCGGACGTGGTCGAGGTCGAGGAAGGTATCGGCAAAGTCGTGCTTCGTGACGCGCTGGTCGGCGGGCAGGGACCAGTACGCGGCGGCGGCCGGGTCGCCGTAGCCCAGCAGCACGTCGTGCAGCCAGGGCGGCGTGGCGAGCGGCGTAGTGAGCAGCTCGCGGATCGCCTCGAGGATGGCCTTGAAGTTGTTCTCCTTTGGCTTGCGCCGCAGCAGCACGTTGAACGACTGGTAGACGTCTGCACCCGTCCCGTCAGCCATCGCCTTGGCGTCGGTGTGGTACTGCGCCGGGTCGAGCCGCAGCTCGAGCTTGCGCACCTGGGGAAGGGGCGGGGGGGGGGGGCAAACCGGCCAAAGAGCCGCCCTCGCTCGCTCGGGGGGTGCGGTGAGTCTCGCGAGCGAACCAGGAACTGCGAGTCGGCGAGCACCGCGTGGAAAAAGCGGCGCGTCGGCAGCTGCGCCATCAGGTCTATGAAGAGCTCGAGCTAAACCTCTAGGTACCGAGCGAGCCCGTCGCCCCCACCGCCGTCCTTGTAGCCTCCGGTCTTTCCTCCTCCCTCCATCTTTTTTTCTAC